TCTGAAGGCAAAAGGGGGTCCAACCTGTTACTAGCGTGGTGTAACTAATAAAGTGGCCGGTGAGTGTATATAGCCATGCCATTTTATTGTACTAATGCTATTGGTTTTTTTTTCTGCTTTTGTGTGTCTTTCATTTTTTACAATCCATCAACTTATGCATACGTTGGGCTATTTTAGCCATTCATAAAAGTAGCCTATACACACACAAATGTTTGATGCTGTCACTCAATGAATAATTGTCCTTTTTGACAGTCAAAGTGAAACACAACTTATCCAAAATAATGCCAATTAATAAATATAAATTGTAAAATATGGCAGCTTGATAAAGCCCCATATGGACCCCAAAGCACTTTACGATACAGTCATTCACCCATTCACACACTAGTGGTGGTAAGCTACATTGTAGCCACAGCTGCCCTGGGGCTGCCATGCAAAGTGGCTTCCTTAATTCCTCTCTCAAACCAAAGATCCTCTATCATGGACGATAACATCTTCATCCCTGAAAGAGTGAGCGTTGGCCTGTCTGAGTTTAAACTGCAGAATCCTAGTCTGATGATGTTGCTCTGCTGTGCTGGGCCATCGTTTTGGTCGGTAGCTTTGATGCATGACTGGTCAGTCCTCCTGGCACTTAACAGTGTACATACTTCTGTGTGCCGGGGACCAGATCTTTGGGGTGAACCGGTCTTTGCTATGTGTTTTGGAATTTTAAAGCCACTGGGACGTAGAAAACATGTTTCTCTAAAACTCCCACAACTTGTCTCAGTTTGAGGTCCTCCTTTTCACTCAACGTCTGGACGATATACAGACCTCAAACCTTGTGACATAATCATGCTAACAATGGGGTTTAACAGTAAATCTTGTTTGTAAACTTGGGGTGAAACCATAGACAAGCAAGTGGCCTCACCTGTACCCCTAACCTGTAATGAAACACATACAAGTGCTTGATAGTATGTGACCTACTAAGTATTTTCCATGGTTATGGTCTAAGTCTTGGCACTGGATTATACAATAGCTTTAACCAGTCAGTCAGGGCCCTTACAGCTTTAACTCAGCTTTAGCTTTTTCAGCAATCATGTACCATTCCACACTCAAACTGTTTCTATTTCTATAGTTTCTCTGTTCTTTTACAATTTGTCACTATTTGATACTTTAAAAAAAAGCCTGCTATGTTTGCAGATACATACAAAACATTTTCAGTCTGTGGCACTTGTTTTTACTTTTTTGGAAATTTAATGGTTTTTTTACATCATAAAACGTGTGTTGATGTTTATTCTTAAACAGTACTTGAGTTAACTGACAAATGACTGTGGGACAAAAATGTTGGTACTTTTTTCAACCCATGTGCAATAATACAATGTGAAAAGGTGAGTTTGAGTTGTTTTTTATTTTAATTACAAAAAAAGTTCACAATTGCTTCTAAATAAAACACAAATTGAAAAAGTTTTCATAAATAAGCTAAACAAGTGCAAACATTTTTTTCAATCACCTGTGTTTATGTGACTATATTCAATACTCACTTATTACTCATAATATTTCTCTTCTGGACATTCAGACTGTGGTCAACAACTATTACAATGTTGATTCAAAATAAAGAAAAAAATTCTTTACTAATGATAGTCTTTTTTTTTCATGACAGAACCAAAAAAAATCACATGGTCTTTATGTAATCTGCAGCTTATTTGTTAAAATTACACAGCACAAAAAAGGGCATTTAATAACTCGATGCCAAATCAGGCTTCAAAATTTAGCTTTTGGTATTGGAACTCAAACAAATTAATCATTATATAAGAAAAAAGCAAACAAAGTGAGGGAAATCATTTGGCTTTTAGCATTAAGGCAAAAACAAACAAACAAAAAAGCCATATTCTTTAGGCAACATTTCAAAAATCCTACCGTTTGTACAGGTCCTTCTCAAAAAATTAGCATATTGTGATGAAGTTCATTATTTTCTGTAATGTACTGATAATCATTAAACTTTCATATATTTTAGATTCATTGCACACCAACTGAAGTAGTTCAAGCCTTTTATTGTTTTAATATTGATGATTTTGGCAAAAAAGTAAAGAAAAACCAAAAATCCATATGTCGAAAAAATAGCATATCATGAAAAGTTTCTCTGAATGACTTATTAACCTAATCATCTGAATCAACAAATTAACTCTAAACACCTGCAAAAGATTCCTGAGG